TATATATATGTATGTATGTATATATATACACACATATATATATATATATATATATATATATATATATAGTACTTGTATAGATTTTTCATTCCTGCATTGTACCCATCTATCTATTCCCAATAAAAACATTGCTGTCTCAATATACACACCCTTGCCCTATAGCTCTCTTCATGCGTAGGTATTGCCTAGTACCATTTGCCAAGAGTCTACTTTAACACATGCTCTACACATGTCCCTAATGCAGCAAAACGTCGCGTACCTACACCTAGGTGCACTTCTGCTTGTATCTAGTTCGTGTTCAATTAGTGAGGGTATATGTTCCCTGGTAAATCCCATCATGCCTTGGAGGTGCTCATGTAGATGGCCACACACCTACTTTATTATGTATCAGCAGCAATCTCGTGCGACACCTACTATTATTCACTATATATATATGTATATATATATATATTCATATCGTATCCTTTCTGTCTACATGTAGGTCTTCCCATGTGACATCTGTCATGACATTGCTGTCAACGGTGATCATCCAATGGAATGGGCTACTCGAATGGTCTGCGGTTTCTGTTCTCGTGAAATGTCGTTCTCCAAAAAAGCTAACTGCGTCTGTGGCAACTCTGTAAGCTGCCTTTATGTCACGTATATGTATTTGTGAATATTAGTTTATTCGTATATGTGTGAATGTATATCTGTACAATATCTGTACATGGATATATGTACATGTGCATGTATTTTTATGTGTATGTATAATATGTTTACGTATATGTTAATGTATTTGTATTTGTATTTTTATTTCTAAATGTTTATGTACATCTAAATGTATGTGTATATGTATATGTACATGTATAAGTACATACTCTATATGTTGATCTATATTTGTGCCAAGCTAGCTGTATAGTCTGTTCGTATCTTAAGTCAGATGACTCATTTGCTTCGCTTTTACTCAGTTGGCTCGACCTTCTTTCTACACAATCTCACCGAGACAATAACAAAGGGCTTTTAATGACTTATCATATATTGAGCAAGTGCGCGTGTGTGTAGCCCAGTCCTTTGTACCCGTCCATTGTTCTACTGTGTGGAATCGGATGCTCGGTGTGTGTGTGTACACGAACACGTACACGTATATATATATTTTTATATATATATAGTATACATACGTACACAAGAATGTGCGTTTTTTTCACGCGAGTGCGCTTCTGACTCGTTGAACTTGTTTTCATTTGCAATTGGTTTTCTTAATGTCATATCATTCACATGCATATATTGAGTACGTATCTTATAACTTAACATATTAAGTGGTTATTGATTTAAATGTTAATACATGTTGATTTGCATATTGGGTACGCATCATTTATGCATATTATCTACATGTTGATTTTCATATAAAGCACGTGTTTTGTACCCTTACCTACGTATCTTATACCTTTACACATACTTACATTTTATTGATTGCATACTATGTATGTACCTTTCTATCTATCCCTGTAGGTAACAGTCGCTCACTCCCACCACTGGAATGGAGGTAAAGGAATGCGAGACAAGAAGCACATGTCCTCCAAGGACGCAGCGAAGTACCGCAACAGCAAAAACAAAACACAGAGCAAGAAGAACGAACGTGTTGGAAAGCAGCCCGACAAATAAACGTGAAGTGTTTAGGGATGGACAACGTCAGGATCCACAGCCTTGTTTATACTAGTAACAATAAACAGAAGTGAACACTAATTACGTATACCTGAGAGGAGATTTATATGTCGATGGTTAAGTGAGTATTGGGACACACGAGACATGAAATAGTATACTTATGGTCTATGAACACACGAGCCATTATTGTGACAGTAAACCTATGGTCTGTGAACACACGAGCCATTAAAGTGATAGTGAACCTATTGTCTGTGAACACACGAGCCAATTAAGTGATAATAAACCTATGGTCTGTGAACACACGAGCCATTAACGTGATAATGAACCTATGGTCTATGAACACACAAGGCATTAAAGTGATGGTAAACCTATGGTCTGTGAACGCACGAGCCAGTAAAGTGATAGTATACCTATGGTCTGTAAACACACGAGCCATTAAAGTGATAGAATACTTATGGTCCATTGATATAAGAGCCATTAGTGATAGTATACCTATGGTCAGTGAACACACGCGCCATTAAAGTGATAGTATACTTATGGTCTTTTAATATAGGAGCCATTATAGTGATAGTAAACATATGGTCTGTT